TGCACCCAGGTGAGGTGGCTGCTTCGCTCTGCCCCACGCAGCGCCCTGAGCGGAGGCAGCCTGAGCACGGATGAGGAGGGGGCCTCCAGAAAGGTTGCCAGCCAGATGGACAACATTGTGGACATGCGGGAGTACGACGTGCCCTACCACGTTCGCCTCTCCATTGACCTGAAGATCCACGTGGTGAGTGAGGAACAGGGAAGCTGGAAGAGCTCCACGTTCCTGCTGCCATGCTCCTGCAGTGCAGGCAGGGCGGAAACGCTTTCCCTCCAGGACCTTTGCAAAGTGGCAGGGATGATGAATTCACATGTAAAGCTTAGGCCCGCACTGCTGGGCCTCCTCCTTAGTGAAAGGATTGATGCACGGCCCAAGTTTGGTGCGTTCCTCTGTTAATGGGTGCAGCTCTGTCCCCTGTGGCTGCCCAGAAGTGGTGCGAGGATCTGGCCCCGCAGTAAGGCCCTGCCCGTCTCCTCTCTGGACAGGCTCACTGGTACAACGTGCGGTACCGGGGCAGCACCTACCCCCCCGAAATCACCCGCCGAGACGACCTTGTGGAGCGACCGGTGAGCGTTGGGTGGGCATCAGTCTGCCCAGTTGCACAGCTGCTGGGTCCGCCCAGGGGAGCTGGTTTCCGATATGCTGCTGGTGTCACGCCGTGGTGTACAGGGGGAAGGCTTTGGGTTTGGGCTTGGGTAGTGATTTTTGGGTTGACAAAGCAGTAAAATGATTACTGGGGAGGGTATAGTTTGCTTGCTGGGCTAGCACTGGCTTAATGGGAACTGCTCTTTAACTTCAAGTCAACTTTAGAATGTTTTCTAATGGATTTCGCCCTGCTCAGGATCCTGTTGTTCTTGCCTTTGACATTGAAACTACCAAACTCCCTTTGAAGTTTCCTGATGCGGAGACAGACCAGATCATGATGATCTCCTACATGATTGATGGGCAGGTGAGGGACGGCAGAGTCATTTCCTCCATGCTCCAGCAGCAAAGCCGATGACCAGGCCAGCATTTCGCCTCCAACCCATCTCTCTCCAGGCTTCCCTTGCTGCTGGCTGCTTGGTGTGTGGCTGTGGAAATGAAATTAAAGTCTGAATGATGCATAAAATATTTAGTTTCGTGGTATCCAGCTCAGGTTGCTGGTGTTCCTCTGAGGGAGCAGTAGTAACCTGGAGACTGCAGGGACAACCCTGCTGTCCCATTTGTCTCCCTGTGTCCTCCTTAGCCGATGGCCAGCGATGGGTCAGCAGATGACTCCTGAGCAGTTGTTTCCCCTTGACAGCTCTGGCTTTCAAGAGGAAAGCATCCCATCGCTTGGACAGCGTTTTCGGATTGCTTGCAAGCCAGGTCCTCTAACTGCCTCCTTGTCACCTCCCTAGGGCTACCTGATCACAAACAGGGAGATCGTTTCTGAGGATATTGAAGACTTTGAGTTTACCCCCAAGCCGGAGTACGAGGGTCCATTTTGTGTCTTTAATGAACCAGATGAAGTAAGTCAGTTCTGCCCAGCAGACTTTTTACCTGCCTGGGGCTCTTGTTGGCCAAAGAGAGCTTATATATTTATCTTTTCTGCTCTTCTATTTCATCCCAGGCTCATTTAATACAGAGGTGGTTTGAACATGTCCAGGAGACCAAACCCACCATCATTGTCACGTACAATGGAGACTTCTTTGACTGGTAAGATCAGGAACGGAAACTAAGCTGGCAAGGCATCGCCTGAGCTGAGGGGCTGGGTCAGGTACCAGCCTCGACACCTTTCCATAGTTCACACGGTGGCGATAGTGTGTGATCCATGCCGACTGTCTGGCCAGTGCGAGATCTTCACCAAATCCTGCGGTCACTGGCTTGGAAGTACGAGCTTCTGCAGAGCTCCATCCGCTTGGCTGAGCTGCTTTAAACCCTGTCCTTGTGGCAACATGGGGGTATGGATGAGCCCAGTCTTGGGAGAGCAGGGAGAGGGTCAACAGAGCCCT